AAAAAATATCTTTTTTTTTTCTTCTGCTCAATCATGTCTGATTCTCAGAGACTGCCTTGATTAGTCCCTGCAGTTTTCTGGGCAAGGTTTTTCAGAAGTGGCTTGCCATTGCCTGCTTCCTAGGGCTGAGAGAGGACCACCCAGTTGACTTTGGGCCTAAGGTGAGAAATTCATGGTTTCCCAGTTTTTAGCCTGATGCCCTAATCACCACACTAAACTGGCTTACATATTTGTTGCTGGGTCAGCTAAAACTCTCATAGCGCTTTTAACAACTTATGTTAGTTTTATTTACTACATTTCATAACATTAATATTTAAGTAACACACAACATAATCACAGTACGGTCTCCTGGTTTCTTGCCTGGTACTTTAACCACCGTAAGAAACTGGCTCCCATCTAATCTATAATTGTCACAAATTATTGTCAGGTGTTTTCTGGAATTTCAAATTTCTTCATAGAGATGACAGTTGGCATTCAGTAGAGCGTGCCACTGCTATTATCAGATCCATTGCCTTTAGCTGCTAGCTCTTACTATCATAGCAGCCAACAACATATGGTATGAGGAGAAAAACAAGGGACTTGGGCAAGAGAAGAGTGAAGCAGAAAATAAAGATTTCTAAGTGAGTAGAGCAGTAATGCAAAAGCATTATAGATCAGCAGCAGAAGACAGCAAATAATGTTTCATTCAAAGGGTACCATTAAAATGGAACAAAAATGAAGGAAATTCATGGAAGAGGAGTCAGCAAGGATCATATAGAACGATTATGCCAATCCAGGGACAGCTGGAGGCCTATAAACTTAGTGGGAATTAGTGAGAGAAATAAATTCAGCCTAGGTTTAGTCTGAGTGGGAGCCAACTTCAGCAGTACTGAAGGGTCTTCCTTTGAAGGTGATGTGTGTATGGGTAGCAGAATACAGGTAGTCCTTGACTTACGACCGTAGTTGAGCCCAAAATGTATGTTGCTGAGTGAGAAATTTGTTATGTGAGTTTTGCCCCATTTTACGACTTTTCTTGCCACGTTTGTTAAGTGAATCACTGCAGTTGTTAAATTAGCCACATGGTTGTTAAGTGAATCTGGCCTCGCCATTGACTTTGCTTGTCAGAAGGTTGCAAAAGGGGACCAAACAACCCAGGTATACACTGCACCTATCCTAAGTATGAACCAGTTGTCAAGCATCTGAATGTAAATCACGTGACCCTGGGGGGGATGCTGCAACAGTCATAAGTATGGAAAATGCTCATAAGTCACTTTTATCAATGACGTTATAACTTCAAACAGTCATTAAACGAACTGTTGTAAGCCGAGGACTACCTGTACACCACTTGGGACTGTGGGCTCCAGTTGCAGTTTCATTTGGGGGGGTAGACTTTGATCAATGTTAAATCTTAACTTCCTTCCACCTTTTCTGAAAGGCATTATCTTATTTATTAAAAGTGATTTAGTGGGTTAATAAAACTGATATGGCAGCTGGCCTTGCGATAACGAATTATTGCAAGTCCCTGAGCAGCTTAATCATATCATTGCCTTATCAGCTATCATTTGTGTTGGCATATGCTCTAGTCAGGTTTGCTTGCAGCACAGGGACAGATGTTCGTGCACATGGAAAACGAGGGTGGGAAAAATCAGCCTGGCTGGTTTCTTCCTGGAAGTTTTAATGAGAAAGCTAACAATGAGCATCACCGCTCTTATTTCTTTCCAAGCCAATACAAATTAAACAGATCCAGCCTACCTTTTTCTGCCTGTAGCTCTGTTGCTTTTTCCAAACTCTTCATAAATCTGTTGCGTATATTTGTGTGTCTTTGATGTGATACATGACATCTCTGTAGAATCCCATTGATATGAAGTGCATCATATATATGTATATATGTGTGTGTGTGTGTGTGTGTGTGTGTGTGTGCGTGCATCATATATATATATATATATATATATATATATATATATATATATATATATATATATATATATATTCAACATTTGGATTGCTAACAAAGAATTAAGGGAGTACTGGGATAGCTATTTCTAACCTTATTTGGTTTCATCAGCCAGTTAAGCGACTGCTGCCTGTGGATGGCTCTAGATTGAGCTGATACAGGCAAAAGATTTCTCTTTCCCATATTTGGGCCGGCAGGGTGTTCAAACAAAAAGTATTCATATATATATATATATATATGTGTGTGTGTGTGTGTGTGTGTGTGTGTGTGTGTTATATGTTATACATTTTATCAGGGCTTTTTTTCAGCCGGAACGCGGCGGAACCGCGTTCCGGCACCTTTTTCTGGGCCGGCCGCACCGGAAATAGCCCCTCCCACACCGGAAATAGCCCCTCCCAAATTTTACTTGCATTCCTGTTCTCTAAAGGGGCGGTCCTAGGGTTTGATGAGGGCGTGGCCAGGTTTGAGTTCCGCCACCTTTTCTCCGAGAAAAAAAGCCCTGCATTTTATATATGTATATAATAGTGGTGGACCTCTATCCACCACCACCACATTTTATATATATAACTCATGTATATAATAGTGGTGGCCCTCTATCCAATTTGTTGGAGATCTGATCAGTTATTTCTCCTTGCTTCCAAGAAATGAAGTAATTTGACTCTGTTTTCTGAGTTAGTATAATCTTTGGAAATTTTTGCATTGCGCAGGGAGCAGGAAAGAATGAGTTTTTCCTTTTCTCTGTGATGCTCCAGACACACAGCCCAATATAAAATCCTTTCAAAGTCAGAAGGCAGGGATTGGGACAGAGGGCATGCCCATGTTGGACGGAATAAAGTGGAGATGGTGGGCCAAACAGCCTGTCCTGCATTAGCAAAACACTATTTCAGATGCTATCCACACATTGGGGCAAGCAGGATGTGAGGATCAATCCTGAGAAAAATTTTGAAAGGTGCAAACCACAGCTCTTTTTTGAGACAAGCTATCCAAAATCCTGGCACATAGAAGTAGGATTTTTCTTTGTTTGTTTGTTTTGTTACGCTGTCACAGAGTCAATCTCCTGAAAGTCTATCAGAGCTTGATACTCTCCGTTTTCTAATATAAGGTGAAGATCTAGTAGGTCAAAGTATAATTTTGAAGCTTTAAATTTCCAGTGAATATATGGTACTGTTTTAATTATTTCTATTAACTGCATTGAGTACTAGATAAGTTGGGATAGAAATGTTTTAATTAAACAAATGAAATAGTTCAAAGTAAGTTTAGTAAAAGAGGTTTCAGGGGTACAATATATGCAAGATGCATACATTTCAGGTCTGCAGGAATTATTATTATTATTATTTTCTTATAAACCAAGGATCTGTGCAAAACATACCTTTTCAATTGAACAGGTCTGGGCTGAAATATTTGAGTACCAGAAGTGAACTGAGTTCCTACTCCTTTTTTGCATATTCTATTTGGGTTGTAATTTCCACCCCCATTTTCCCATTTCCAAAATTTTGTGACATACTGTAGCTTCCACTTATACAGCGTGCATAAAATTCAATTAAGGAAATGTACTGTATGCAGACAACCAAACTTTTAAGGAAGTTGTTCATAAAAATGTATACAGGTATGTAACATGTGTATGTGTATACAGATAGTCTTCAACTTACAACAATTCATTTAGCGGCCATTCAAAGTTACAACAGTACTGAAAAAAGGTGACTTGTGAGCATTTTTCACATTTACAACCATGGTCACGTGATCAAAATTTGGATGGTTAGCAACTGACTCATATATATATGACGATTGCAGTGTCCTGGGTCATACGATCACCTTTTGCAACCTTCTGACGAGCAAAGTCAATGGAGAAGCCAGATTCACTTAACAACTGTCTTACTAATTTAACAACTGCAGTGATTCACTTAACAACTGTGGCAAGAAAGGTCATTAAATGGGGCAAAATTCACTTTGCAACTTTTCTCTTAACAACGGACACTTTGGGCTCAATTGTGGTGGTAAGTCGAGGATTACCTGTATGTGTGTTTGAGGAAAGAGAGCAAGACACACACAAGATACACACAAACATAAACAGAAATAAAATGAGCTCTTGGCACCATCCATCAGGGCACTTGTTTTATGTATCTTTGTTAATACCTCTTCTTCCCCTCCCCCCACCCCCAACAGATATCACTATTACGGAATTGGCATCAAAGAAAGCAGTGCATATTATCATTCTGTGTATTCTGGCAAAGGTTTAACAAGGTATGTTTTTTAAAAAAACTTTTTTCAAAAATGTAATCCATAAAATGTTAGATGATGAACAAAAATGAATCAGTTAGGATCGGTCTGCACACGAATGTTTACCATTTCAATTCTCATCACATGAACTGCCTGTTGCTTGGTGATGTCTAAATGGTTCTGCTTTTTGTGAAGTAGTATATAATGGTATAAAATGTTCTAGGCCAGGGGTAGGCAACCTTGGCTCTTTTATGACTTGTGGACTTCAACTCCCAGAATTCCTGAGCCATGCTGGTTGCCTATCTCTGTTCTAGCCAAAAACTGCAAATTGCCGGCAAAAAACTAGCACGTGAAGCAAAAAATTGAATTGCTCACTTGATCTGTGAACAAACCATTTGTGTGCAGATTCTCAAATCTTCCTATGATTTGGTGGTAACAGTGCTTTGGTTATTAAAGAGTTGATGCTTACCAGTGTGCGCATCCCATATAAAGAAAAACAGACATTTCCATACATCTTCTGCCTGATGAAAACGGCTTTACTTCGCATCATTTAACAACCAAATATCTTTGGGGAAAAAAGCAGATCCTTGGTATGCATGTATATTTAAAAAAATAAATGTCATATCAACGCTTTATGGTGGTATGTACTGTAGTAAAACCACAATATACTACAGTTGTTAAGCAGAGGACATAATTATTCTTTAGGATTGAATTAAATTGACTGCCTCAAGCCTACTAATTCTGCAAGATTTTTTTTCTAATAGTTCTAATTATGCCATCTTGCAAACACAATAGATTTTATTAAAGGTTCAAAAATGAAAAAAAAACAACCTCATTGTCTAAAATTACCTATTCCTTTTTTCCTAAAAAAAATGCATTAAAATTTTTAAAACAAAGGTAAAAACTAATACAAACTAATATAGAGTTAGGAGCGACAGAAAAAAAATGCAAAACAGTATGAAAAAGTAAAAGAAGAAATGGAAAAGAAAGCAAAAGATATAAAGAGTCTTCTTTACAATTGTTATAAGTGTGGTTATAAATTGAGCTCTTTCTCTGAAGTTACATCATGACTCTCTACAATCTATCCCAGTGATGGCGAACCTTTTAGAGACCGAGTGCCCAAACTGCAACCCAAAACCCACTTATGCATCGTCGGGTGCTGGGTGGGTGTAGCCCATTGGGTGGGTGTGGCCCATTGGGTGGGCATGGCTGCGGTGGTAACAGCAGACTGGGTGGGACTAAAAAGTTCAATCAATCAATTCCAACTTTGCAAGATCTTTTTTTTCCCCTGCAAGAAGTTGAAATTGACTGATTGATTGAACCTTTTTTTTGTACATGGCAGCGGAGGCCTAAAGCAAAAAGGTTTTATAAAAACCAGCTGAAGGCCTAGGACTGGGGTGACGGCGCACGTGCCCACAGAGAGGGCTCTGCGTGCCGCTTCTGGCACCTGTGCCATAGGTTCGCCACCTCTGATCTATCCTGTCTAATCATGAAGTCATACTTTTCTCTTTCAAGCAAAAAGTCCATAAAGGTTTTCAGTCAGTATGATCATTCCTGTTGATCATATTTCCAACATAGATTTGAAGTGTCTTTATAGATTCTAGATTAACTAGAAAAATTAACTATTCCTATAAATATTTGCAGAGATACTGCCCATCTAGCAGTTTAAAAGCATGCAAATGTAAGTAGATTAATAGATATCACTTCGATAGGAAGGTAACAGTGTTCCATGTGCCTTTGGCATATAGCCATGCTGGTGAAATGACCATGGAAATAATCTTTGGACAATGCTGGCTCCCTCAGCCAAGAAACGGAAATAAGCACCATACCTGGGGAGTTGAACACGACTGACAGGAAAACCTTTACCTTTAACTATTGTTCCTTATAATCTGGTATATTTGATGCTGTTCTATCATCATAGTAAACTTTAATCTAGTATTCTTTTCTGAAATGTAAGTAAAACATTTTGGTTTTCCAAGGTTTTCTGGAAGCAAGTTGAAGAATGAGGTGAGTACCCCTTCAGCTTTGCTATTCGATCTTTTAAATGTGCAGTGATAAGAAAAAAAAACTTGACAAACACAAATCTCTGGTTATTCAATTGTAGACGTTCCACACACAGAATAAATTGAGGAAGCTGCCTGAGTGATACTGAAAGAAACCACTGGCTTACTTAGCCAATATTTATTTATTTATTTCTCACCCTGCTTTGTGATGTATGAGACTGAATCTGTGTCCTCCCCTTTGCCAAACAGTGCTTTGCCATTGTGTTTAGCTTTTTCCCACTTGCATAGTCCATATATCCAGACTACTTCTTTATATACTGTAGATGGAAAGTTTTTAAACTCAAATAGAAACTCATGCTGACTAGAGATAAGAATGGTTAAATGTAACTTTCTCCGGCCAGATATTTTCTGACTGGATTGGATTTCAACTCCCATAAACCAACGTGTGTGTGTGTGTGTGTGTGTGTGTGTGTGTGTGTGTGTGTGTGTGTGTGTGTGTGAAAGCCTGGAGTTTGAAAATTCTGAAAGAAATGAAAGAATGAGAGAATATAAAGGAAAAGTACAGGATCACGTTTTTTCTTCAATTTTTCACTTTTTTTATGAAATATGGTTATGATTTATAGAGTACCCAGTTCATGTTGGGTACTGTTCATGTTGGGAGGTCCATGCAGTAGAGACATTTGCTGTCTATGAAAGAGTTATGTTTGTTTGCCAAAGAATTAAGGATTGTTCCTCATTTGCTGCCCTCAATATTGCTCACAAAATGGCTCTGGAGTCTACATATGACTTCTGGAGTCATATGTAGATCGGGATATTTTAATCTAAACCAATGAAGCTAACGTTACTTGTATTAATTAAATATTTGAGCTTCTTTTAGAGAAATATTTAATCAACAGACTAAGGGTTAAAAGATAGAACACAACACTTTCCCTGATTTTGAAAAATCCTACCCTGACAGACTCCATCAAAAGAATGATGTCTTTAGTGTTCCACTTGGTACAATGCAATTAAATGGGCTGACAGCATTATCATCACTTACTCTCACATTGTCATGTTTTCAAAAGAAATGTTACTTGTTAAAAGAATCAAACATGTAACTGAAACACAAGCTTCCATATATGTGAATGTATTCATTGTAGCCTTGCTGTCACAGAGTTCCTGCCCTTGCACTTTATTTTCCATTTTATGAAAATTTCCAGAGTGTATTTTATCATCTACTTGGAAAATAATATTTTCAGATTGGTCTTATCTTTTTTTTTAAAAAAAAAAAAAATCACCACATACTAATAGGTAATTGTTCAACTGAAGCCATATTGACTCATGACAGCTTTTAAATGACCTAATGTTTATGTCAACATACAATGGGAACTACACATCACTTCTTTCATTAGCTCCTTATCTGTGTTTGAGTAGCCTGATGTTCAAGCTAGGTATAGCTTGAATAATCTTGGTTTCTTTACTATAAAAAGAAGTGTACCTAAACTGTTAATTGAAACAATTTCTGGATTGGGAGACTGGCCATGATCCAAAGACAGAGTGCCAATCTTAAATGGATATTAGTGTGAGACTGCCTACGTATAATAATGTTCAACTGAAATAAAATCAGAAGCTATATGTATAGATATATACATGTAAAGGATAATTTGATAAAATAAATTATGACTTTGTCTTACATTATTCATATTTTATTTTCTTGGCTTAATGGTATAAATTATGAAATCTGAAATAGAAAACATCCTATTAAAGTAGTTCAGAAGAGATTTACTCAGTTTTATGACCTTTACCAAAGTCCATCAGTAATTTTCATTCCATTTCTTTGCTGATCTTTTTAAAGAAGAATCTGAAAATATCCACAGTTTTATCCAAATGTGTAAATTTAAAAAAAACATTTTCAGCTGTTTCCATTGTTTGGTTCAGCTAAAAAGTGGACCCCCTACCATGTGACTTGAAAGTACTTCTTAAGAATTCCAGGAAATAAACTCATGCTATCACTTATCATCTGGGTCTCCATCTTTGTTGGGGGCAGGAAAGGATGCTTCCATATATTAAAAACAAAAAAGCCAGAACTGAGTCAGTCTTCAAAATACGGTAAATATCTCATTTGATGGACTTCTCAAACTTGGCAGTGCCCAAGCATCTATGGGAATGTCTGCTATGGGCCCAAAAACTAAATAGATATTTTAATGGGATTCCCTTTGGGGAAATGTAGGTGGGATTGTTGTTTGTTTTGTTTTTGTGATTCCTAGATTTTGCATTTCTGGACTCACCCAAATACCTGTTCTATTTCTTGCTCTTCTCCTCTCTCCTCTCCTCTCTTCATCTTCTCTTTTAAATGACAGATCTTGAAAGCTGAATCCATTACGCAAATCTTACTGATATTATAATGCCCTATAAACATTAAAATTTCTTTTGATGGGAACATTTATTTAAATAGTTTCAAGTTATGTATTAATATGACAATTAAAATATTATACATAAGTGTTAAAGGCTAGATCTGTGGACTCTGCAGTATGACGGGAATAATGCAGAGAAGAAGAAGAAGATGTTAAAGGCTGGATGAGGGGTCTTTAAAGAACACTTAAAGCAGCGGTTCTCAACCTATGGGTCTTGACCCGATTTGGGGTCGATCGACCATTTCACGGGGGTTGCCAAGCAAGGCTGTCCGCCATTTTTTTCCCCTTTTCCGGCGGGTGCCTTACCTCCCTTGGGCTGGGCCAGCTGGTGGTCGGCCTGCTCCGTCTCTGCCGCTTGCCAGCTACGCCTTGGCCGGCGCAGGGGGCGGAAACACGCATGTGCGGCGCTCCCAGGCAGGGAAAGTCCTCGAGTTACGACCGGTTGGGTAGTCCTCGACTTACGACCGGTTTAGTCCTCGACTTACGACCGGTTTAGTCCTCGACTTACGACCGGTTGGGGGGTCGCGGCATTAAAAAGGTTGAGAACCACTGACTTAAAGGAAACAAAATAGCATACATGAAAATGTTTAAAATATATTTCAGATTTTGTATCTTTTCCTTCGCTCTCCTTTTGTCTTCCTGACCTTTGTTGCTGATAGAAAAAAATGTAAGGCAGAAAGCGTTGATGGACAGAACCTGTTTATTCTTGGAAGCATTTCTAATTCATTGCGTTTCAATTATGAAGGAGAAAAGGAAGAAATCTGGTTATCCAGCAAAAATGCCCATGTGGTCAATCTGAAATAATTTCTCCAAGGTCTCTACAAACTTAGCAATGTCCAGTATATATATATGTGGCATATCTGCTGAAATTCCTGACACCTTCTGGTTCTGGTAGAATCTTCAGATGAATGCAGGAGAAGGTTTGATATTCTTACAGAGGGAATAATAATAATAATAGAAAGTTCAGCTGCATGAACATAAGTCTGTGCCCACGTGATATTGAGCAATCTGATTGTTTGTACACAGTTCAATAAGATGATCGTTATAGCATATTGTGAATATGCATTTGTAAAGTTATTTCATATATTTTAGGGTGGCTTTACACGGAAATATTCTTTAAGCTCCAAAACGGGGACTCTTCTCCCAGAATTCCCCAGTGCTCAGCACCTTATGTTGGACCAGTGTATCTCTAAAGACAAGGTAAAATGTGAAGTGTTTGCATACTAAACTGACTTCTAAATTTGCACTTTTTATTTCACCTCTCTTCTCAAATGATTCACTGTAGTGATATGAAACAGCTACAAATGTTTGTAATCAAACAGACTTGACTGATTTATAGAGGGAACAAAACTTTACTATCGCCCTTTAAAGGGTTTTCCATTGGAACAGTGGTTGAATTATTTACATATTAACTTGCCTAATATTTTACAAACAGAGGGATTTGTACTGACAAAGGCAAAACAAAGAAATAGTTAAGGGTCCTATCCATTCAAAATACCAATGGACTAATTTAACACTGATAAGGCAGAAGCAAATTATTTGAGGCAATTTACGAAGTGGATTTTTCTACTTTTTTTCTTTTACTCAATGAACACAACTTAACACTTCTGTATTTCTTTATCATTTGATAATGATGTACATGTCACTCTGACTCTTAAATAGTGTTCTTAATGTGGCTGATTCCTTGTATTTCTTTGTGAAGAAATGCAGATGACTGTTAACCAACTTTAAATAATTATTTCATAATTATTGAACCAACTAAGACTCAAAATGTCCTTAACCCTATAATTATGAACACAAAGGGACACACACAGATACTAACATGCATCTATGACTTTCACTCATAGGAAGAACTGGGACTGAATGTATCTTAGGAGTGGCCTTTTAAGACCTATAATCTGCTCATATCTCACTGAAAGTAATTATATTTAAAAATATAATTCTCGAGGTGATATGCATGATAAGTTTAAGTAATACAAATACATAAACTGATTAGATTTAATTTCCAAATACAGAGTAATACCTATGTTAGGACAATCTGAGTATACATCTCATGTAAAGTACACATTTAATTGTTAAATTAGATCTAATCTGCATAGACAAATTTAGCATGAAAGAAACATTGTTGACAATAATCATCAAAATTTTATCTATGTATTTTGTAATTAATGTTAATAGAGGCCTGGATCAGTAATAGTTTCTTGATTTGATGATACATTTCAATAATTACTGGACTATATTAAAGAATGGAATTTTAGTGTCAGTTACCAAAATATCTTGCTGATTAAAATATAGGATTTGATTTTCAAATAAAATTTCAGTTTGCGCATGTTCAGTTTTGCCTATCCTTCTCTCATTTTTGCAATAGGTTTGAACAATTCTGTTCTGTTATTGAATTTCAAGACTCTGTGTCTCTGTGTGTTTACAATATTTTTTAAAAAAATTAAATTTAAATTAATTTAAATGTTTAATCAATTAATTTTTTTACAATTTAATTAATTTGACTAATTAATGCCCAAACAAAACTACATAAATAACATCCTAGAAAAAAATTCAACAGGGGCTCCACCTAAGAAAAACAGAACTGCAGAAACAGAAACTTCCAGAACATAGGAAGAGAGGGAGTCATTCATATCTCCCCAGAGTGGGGGAATGTTGTCCCAGAGAGTTCGGTTTGATTTGATTAACACACTGAGAAAGTTAGAAAAGTGCTAATGAACATCTATGCATGTGTGAGGTCCATCCAACTCACATTTTCTGAGCCCCCATTCTTCCTGACTCTAAAACATTAATATATCCTCCAAACTTTCATAAGGAAACTAGATATACATTGGAGTTCACATAGTAAGGGTTCATTGGCCTTTCACTGCTTGTTAAATCGTACCCATTTATTCTGAAATTGTCCTCTATTAATATAAAAGCTAAGCCAAATCTCCCTCACCCCCTGTCCAAATCTTTCAGCAGTATGTGATCAGATCCACTGGTACTGCTGGGTGACTACTATAGCACATATGCCTTTGATCTATAGTAAGTAACTTAGTAGTGATTCTAAATGGGTCTCCAGCCTCACAGGTAATACTCCAGACCACGTCAGCATTACGATGATGTGAGTATATCCTCCAGGTTGAAATTATTAAGATGGTAACACCCGCAAGTTTAGGAGCACTGAATCTATTTCAAGAGGGGCATGCATGCTGTTTGCTAATTAGTTAATCACAGGAGTTGGACACCAAGAAAGTAAATGAATATTTTTAGGGAGTCCAATTGATCTAGTAGCTTCAAAACATAGAGGTGAACCTATTTGTTTTTACAGCTTGAAATATCATTCATTCATTCATTCATTCATTCATTCATTCATTCATTCATTCATTCATTCATTCATTCATTCATTTATTTATTTATTTATTTATTTATTTATTTATTTATTTATTTATTTATTTATTTATTTATTTACCCACCCAACTTTATATTGCCCGTCTCACCTGCATGACTCTGGGCAGTTTATGAATAAATGTATGTGAGGGTATGAGAGTGCCCCCTGCACACTATACTTAGGACTCCCTCGGTCTACATCAAACATCCTTAATATATCCTTCCCCAAAACAAAGATTTGATTGGTCACAACCCTGACAACAAGTTTATCAACATTGACAAACTACATTTGTATTTCTTTATTTTATGAAGGCCAGATTCCATAAACAAAAAGTGGCACAGTAGTTGTTTGGCAACAGTTAGAGAACAATGGGAAGTGTCCTGGTTAAGTTGAAACTTCTGTAAGGAAGGATGTTGCAGTAGGGATAAACAAGATTGGGACAGCGAATTCCATTCTTTAAAGCCCTATCCTATCTAACTGGCAAAGAGTCATTGCTAGAAGTACATTAATGGTCTTTCTATGACTAAGTTAACCCCATGAGTCATTATTCTTTTAATTTTCAGTCACCTGCAATCTATTCTCCCTTCCAAACACAAAATGTTACAGAAGAAATTCCTGAAAGAGATATAAAGGTTTTGTTTAATGTAACTTTGTTTTAATTTTTAATTCCTAAAATAGGTGGATACCCTTATCATGATGTACAAAACTCACTGCCAATGTGTCCTTGACAATGCCATTAATGCAAACTTTGAAGAGGTAAGACCTATGCAACTATAGTTTAATCTGTTCCTAATATAAGGAGCATGGCCAGAAACCTCACTCATATTTGCTCTCTTACATCTCCTTCCTAGATCCAACATTTCCTATTACATTTCTGGCAAGGAATGCCAGAGCATCTTCTCCCCCTGCTTGAAAATGCAATTATCCTGGACATCTTCTGTGTTTGCGACTCAATACTCTATAAGGTCTGTTGCCTTCTGTCATAAATACTAAATTGTATGATTTAATGTAGCTGTTGGAAGAATGATTAAATAACTAGAAAATTATCATACTGAAAAAATTTAAAATAAAGCATACAGTATTTTTTTTTATTAAATCCAGTTTTGGTTTTGCCCTGGCCTCATCTACTTCTCCACATGCCACTGAAGTAAGTGATGCAAACTGCCCGAGATGCATTTGAAACCACCTCTGGTTTAATAAGTGGTTGATGAGCAAAGTATCCCAGCGCTTTGTTGTGTTGATAGTTTTTCCAAGTTCCTTGAACTAACTCAGGAAGACAATTGAGTCTTTAAACTGTACCGTTTGGATGCATCTTTTATTTCATGTCAATTTTCCTGACAGGAGAAGCCTCATGCAATAGATAACTGAAACCATTTTTAAGTTTGGCCTAGTAGATTGCCTCCTAATAGGTTGCAACACACCCAACTGTTTCCAGCATTTCGGGACCAGTTTGCAGTTTACATCTGACAGTTTGTTGTTCTATACATGCACATATATGCACTTCTACCAAGGGCCTCATGTTACTGAGGTAACAATATGTGAGCCAATATGAGTAGGGAAGTAAAGTGAAGAATTCAGCCAAATATTGCATCTTTTGCTCAGATCCTGTACTGAGCAAAAAATCATGTGTATGACTACACAAGAAGAGTCATTAATTGATGCATTCTTATTTGCAATGGGGTGAATTTTTATTTGTAACAAAGTAGTAACAGGGCCTGTTAGCCTGATTCCATGCACTTTATAGCATTGCAGAGATATTAATTTTCCTCCTTCTGTATTCAAGGTCCTTATAGATGTACTCATCCCTGCAACTATGCAAGAAATGCCAGAAGGGTAGGTAGCACTATAGGTGAACTTGTTGAAAACATAAGATCAGTATTCTGATAGTTGAAACCTTAGAATAATATGTTTGCTATTTTTTAATACAATAATTTCCCGTTCTTCAGTATAAATGGTATAACTATAGTATAACTATCTCAAGAACTGCCACCTGAACCTGGCTAGTTGTTGAGATATATGGGAGAATTCCTTTTAAGAATGCCATTCACTGGAGAAAAGGGCTTTCTTTTCCAAAATATGGGTTATTTTTTTCTTAGAGAACTAGGATTGGTTTCTGATTTCTTGGCTTTTAGAAAATAAATTAAGGTACATCTCTTTTAGTCTTGCACCTGGCACTGATGGTAATGAAATGTCTGTAAGAACAGGTTCATTATTTAACTCGACAGTCACTTTTTGGCCATTATCTATAGTAGAGAAATATTTATTGATAAGATTGTATGAGATGGGCACTTATTTGATGACATTTCAAAATCATCAAAGTTCAAAGTGGACCACAAAAGAATTAACAGTAGTACTTGTAAGGCCCTTATTTTCATTTAGATTTCAGTTCCCCAGAAGTTCATATTAATTTATGAAGCTTGAGTTCTTTTTTTTCATTATCAAAAACTATTCTAAATGGGCATCTATAAAGGCTTTCTATTGTTGAAATCCCACCATCCACCTGTCAGATTGTCTTCAAAATTTCCTTTGCTTCCCTGCATGGGTTTGCATGTAGCAACAATAGTTCTGTGGCGTAGGGAGTGCCAGGCTACTTTTCATCCTGAACGGCGACAGTGGTCCAATAGTTTACCCTCATTTGAATCCTGTTTTATTAGGAGGATGACACTTTCTGCCTCTATTCTTTTAAGTTCTGTTGTAGAATTAAGTATTATAAAATACTTCAAAAGTTTAGATTGGAAGGGATTGCAGTGTTAGTAGCCTATTTATTCGGTCAAAATCTGTTGTTGTAATTCTAGGACAAATCAGACAGTGGAAATTAAAGTTGGTATAATGGCATTGGCACAACTTGTTATAATGATGTTTGCCACATTGGAAATCCTTCTTCCCAGTCCTACACATCTACGTAGTTTTCTGGTTCTGGCCATGTAGTTTTCCTATTAAATTCAGACTGTAAAGTCTGATTTGTGTTGAGCTATCACTTTTCTGGATGAAGCTGTTAATATTTTTTAATCCTATAACATGAACATATCTATGTCATTTTATAGATAGATTCCAAACTCCTTATTTTTGTTTCAGAATATTGGCTGATATAAGAAATTTTGCTAAAAACTGGGAACACTGGATGATTTCTGCACTAGAAAATCTACCGGAAGAACTTGCAGCAAAGAAATTACCAATTGCACGGAGATTTGTATCTTCCCTGAAGCGTCAGACCTCCTTTTTACACTTAGCCCAGGTAGAGCTTAAGTAATGAACGGGACAGCATTTATTTTGTAAATTCAGTAGGAATTTCTGCAAATACTCAAGTATTTGCAGAAATTCCTAGTAGAAATGCTATGAAACTATACTGCAAATGCACTCCTTCTTCGAAAAAAGAGGAGAGAGGTACAAGCCATTTGTCTCCTCTAAAAATGCATTCATATGTCAGGGCTACTTAAAGAAGCAAGATGAAAAACTTTTACTAATAGTTCAAAACTGATCTGTATTTGCTATTCTCTCTCTCCCTCTCTCCCTGTCTCCCTCTCTCCCTCCCTCTCTCTCTCTCTCTCTCTCCCTCCCTCCCTCCCTCCCTCCCTCTCTCTCTCTCTCTCCAAATTGCCTCCCATATGGGACTTCAGTTCATTTCAGTTCATTTGCTGACTGTTCAAAGTTACAATGGCACTGAAAAAAGTGACTTGTAACAATTTTTCACACTTATGACCACTGTAGTATCCCCATGGTCATGTGATTAAAATACAGATGCTTGGCAACTGACATATTTATGACGGTTGCAGTGTCCTGGGACCTTGTGATCGACTTTGGCGAACCTTTTGACAAGCAAAATCAATGGAGAAGTTAGATTCATTTAACAACTGGGTCACTAACTTACCAACTGCAGTGATTCACATAACAATTATGGCAATAAAGGTCGTAAAATGGGGCAAAACTCACTTAACAAATGTCTCACTTAGCCACAGAAATTTTGGGCTCAATTGTGTGGTTAAAAGTCGAGGATTATCTGTGTTTGCTGTTGAGGCCGCCAAGATTTAGTTACCAATCTGATAGCACTTTTAGCAATGTATTAATTTTGTTAAATACATCACATAATATTAATATTCAAGCAGCAAAATAATCATATCCGACCATGAATAATTTTCGAAACGTAGCTGTGCTCTGCCACGGCTACTCCGTCAACAGAAATTCAGGATTTTTCCTCTGTTTTTTTTCTTCATAGATTGCACGTCCCGCTCTCTTTGATCAACATATAGTGAATGCCATGGTTGCTGATATTGACAAGGTTGATCTGTATGGCATTGGATCCCAAGCACTTCTCACTATCTCAGGAAGCCTGGACTCTGAGGTGGAGGGCTACACTGAATGTAAGCTTCTGCTTGCATTTGAAAGGATTGTGTTTCTCAGCCTTTCCCAGGGCCTTCATTCTGTTCTGTAAAACTGAACTGCATCCTCGAACTTGCTTTATACTTTCTATATCCGATACGATTCTGTTTTGCATTAGAAGCCAATTTAAAGCAAGGCTGGCTTCAAACATACATCAACACGGACTTATCTGCAGAAATACCCAATTTACTACAGATATCTGAAATTCCCTGATCACAGGAGATTCCCAGTTCGATTCAATAGCATAAGCAGCTTTGGATCAATTTTCCCACTGCCTGCAAAGAACTGTCTTTGGCCCTGAAATTTCCCATAATTTAACACATGGATTAAAAAGCAGCTTGAAATATCAAAATTCATAAAACGGGACATATCTTTTGGAAAGTGTATACAGGTAGTCCTCGACTTCTGACCACAATTGAGCCCACTGTTGCTAAGTGAGACATTTGTTAAGTGAATTTTGCCCCATTTTACAACCTTTATTGCCACAGTTGTTAAGTGAATCACAGTTGTTAAGTTAGTCACATGATTGTTAAGTGACTCTGACTTCCCCACTGGCCTTGCTTGTCAGAAGGTTGCAATGACCCTGGAACACTGCAGCTGCCATAGATACGAGTCAGTTGCCAAGAGTCTGAATTTTGATCACGTGACCATGAGGTTGTAAGTCTGAAAAACAGTCATAAGTCATTTTTTCAGTGCCATTGTAACTTTGAACGGTCACCTAAACAAACTGTTATAAGTCGAGGACTATCTGTAATCAGCTGTTGTGTATGTTATTTGAAATGTTAGTCCCTTCTTCCTTCCCTTCCTCTTCTGCATAGCTATTGCACACACACACACACACACACACACACACACACACACACATATATATATATATATGGATATATATATATATTTCAAAATTTGGATTGCTGACAAAGAATTAAGGGAGAACTGGAATAGCCATTTCGAACTTTTTAGTTCTTTTCAACCAGACATACCCTTCTGAGATTCGAACCTGGGCTGTCTGCATACACATGGTGAAATAATTTATCAGCTTGTATATTTCCCCAGCAATTACTTTTTTATGTTTTTATTAATACCTTTGTGTCTGGCCCTACTCTTTGATTCTTTGTATGGCATGAAAATGATTCCTCACATAAGGAAGATAACAAATGTTTTTGTTGGATTCCTTTTTTGGTTTTCTTATTTAATTGACAAAGATTACCTTCTTTGTTCTTCCTTTTTTTAAAATTCTGATTAAATAAATTTCTCATTGCTACGTGATAGGCAAAATTAATACATAGAGGTTCAAACATTGCTTAATCCCAGTTTGTCAAGACTGCTATAATTGTATTGCTACTGGTTTGCATGAACTGAAGAACATGCAAATGTGAGCTTATTCACACAATAGAGCTTTTCCTCCTCCATGTCATCTTTAAGTAAACGGAGGAATTGTGTTTTCATGTAATGATGATTACAGCAGTATCACCAATAGGACATTTTTTTTGTTAAATATGGTTTAAGTATACCAAAGTACAGTAGCTATAAAACATAATTGACCCAGGACATTAAACTTACCCTGATTTCAATAATTTAGATATTTACTTAGGTAATTCTCACTGAAATTAAAGAGAAATATTTAATGTGGCTTGGCTTTTCTCAAATAAGTATAGCTTCTAAAAAATATTTGATTAAAAATTAGTAAAACAAAATTCAGATTACAAATACTTTCCAATTTTTGTATGCAGTGTGGTGTTCTTTGTTTTCTTTACAGTTCAGTTTTATTATTCCCTGGACAAAATTTTCTAAATTCCCTCTCTTATCTTCTTAGATAGTGATGGTTGATGGTTGATAGTGGGACATCAAAGTTTCTGAATTCATCCCAGTACATAATGGCATATCCTGCAAGTTCTTGAATTAGTTCTTTATTAGCCATAATAATATGAAATAGCAAATATAATTGTAAGGATAATATATGCACCCATATTCCTAAAAGCATAGCTACACATTATATATAAGTCCTTATAAATAAATCTTAATAGTTCTTTTTCTCCACAAAACAGCCACTTCCTGATGAGATGAGTAAGCATAACATTGGAAGGGCAAAAGAAAAGCTTAATTTTCTTCCACTCTGTCATCTCTCTAGTATAATTTTCCCCAGACATTGGCTTTTTGGTTTGGTTAACATGCATCTGTGTGCAATAGGCAGCTAGGATCTGAATTCAGGTATGTGCCATAGAGCAGTGATGGCAAACCTTTTAGAGACCAAGTGCCCAAACTGCAACCCAAAACCCACTTATTTATCGCAAAGTGCCAGGGGCCCATCAGCATTGTAGTGCCCTCGGGGGGGGGCAGGGAAGCATCTCTGAGTGCCGCCTCTGGCACGCAAAAACCAGGGGTGCAAAAATGGGCCACCATGCTGCAAGGCGCAAAAACAGCTGCCACCGTCCTGTGGGATGCAGATACAAGGCGCTGCACCATGCAAAAATGGGGCAGGGCTAGTGAGTATCACGCAGGCACTAGCCCCGCCTCATTTGCAGTGCGTGCATGCTTGCAGCCCTGTGCACCTATGCACGCATGTAAAATGTTTCCCCCTCCCTTTTCTTCCAGTCCGCCAATCGACAATGGTTGGTGACCTCTGCTCTACTACCTCTCCTCGACCTTGCAAGTTGGCCACTTCACCTCCTTTGTGCTGGGCGGGACTCCTGCTCCAGGCGGTGGTGATGGCCTGATGGACCTGCTGCTGGTGGTGGTGGGGCACGCGTGCCAACAGAGAAGGCTCTGAGTGCCACCTCTGGCACATGTGCCATAGGTTCGCCACCACTGCCATAGAGACAATATAATCCCATTGAGAACTCAGTCTTTAATGCATGACTTCTCCAAAGAAGACTGCTAAGAGCATGTATAATGGGACAAAATGTTTTTGAAAAAAGGATATGCATATAGTAATAGTTATATGATACAAAATTTGAATATACAACAGAACTGGGTAGTTTGATTGATTGATACAACTGTCAGTTATGAATAAATGCAAAACCTTCCTAATCACATAACATTTCCGTGGGAAATAAGTCCAGCAGTTAGCTTGATGAACTCAAGAAATCTCCTATATTTTCTCTCTTCTAATTTCCCCTTCACTGCTCTAATTCTTCCTTTTCCTTTCTTTTACATGCTACAAAACTTGTAATGATGGGTGAGTGGCTTCCTGTCCTGTTTAGAGTAGAACACAACCACATACTTTCCTTTTTACATGGTAGATGACTCTATTACAGTGTTCCAAGAATTGAAGGACCTCTTAAAGAAGAATGCTACTGTGGAATCGTTTATTGAATGGCTGGACACGGTCATTGAGCAAAGAGTTATTAAGGTAAGACTAAAATTGAAAATAAATGGCTTCCACTGGTGCCTGTTTATAACCTGATTTTCTGGATACTGCCTTTATGATCAGCAACCTTTCTTCTTATGAAATCTTTTTCCCCCCATCCAATTGTAAATAGTTGCAATTTTCAGGCCTCCATAAAATACTCCAAAGTCTGGTTCCAGAACATCTCCCAAAATTTTCACCACGCTGTAATTTGGGAAAAAATATTAAGTATATCATATTAGCAGTATTTGAATTAGTTTAATATTAATTTTACATTTAAAGTCATTTAAATCAAGTCTAGGATTTTTGGTCTGGGCCTCATCTAATTTTTTTCCCTTGTCCTGTTCTGATGCTACCTACTATTTAAAGAGCAGCCCTAAGAATGCTACCTAAAGGTGAAAAACATCCTTGGCCCCCAAAATAAGCATCAATGTTTAGATTTGCTTTATTGCTGTGATAGAGAGGATGTATTTCCATAGCACTTCAGATGTACATCAATTCATCTAGCATTATATATATATATTTCAAAATATTTGTGTATAATTAATACTTTTGAGTTGTAAATGCAAATTAATCTTGCATTTATATTATATACAAAGGAACTGAAGGGTGTGTCTATGCCTTCTCCTTTAGTAACCTGTAGCCTACCTCATTTCCCATATATCAATTAAATTCCAATATTTAATTTTTCCCATAGAGTTTTTTTTCTTATAAAGCATATAGAGAGGCTAAAGGATGATGGACAGAGATGGAACAGTGAGGGAAGAAGAGGCACTGTTTGTCATATCCCACTAATAAAATGATTGCTACTTTCATGCAGCTTCTATCATTTTACAAAAATAAATAAATAAATCAGAGAATAAAATGATATTCCCAGGTTTGCTTAGTTAATCTTTAGATATTCGTCATTTTAAAAAGCACTGGAGGAAAATTGCCCATCAATTAATATCTATTATGAAACACTGTTCTAGAATAAACATGTACAATATTCAGTGTTTTCTAGCCACGTCTGGAAAAAAAGAACTGGACAATTTACTATATGAATCAAGATTAGAGAGTAAGGGGTAATGATTTACAGAGCACATAATCCTTCCATTGCCCTCGGCCTTCTGTTTGGTGAAAAGGAGTAGGGCCTCTCCATAATACCAAATGGCTTCTTTTGTTTGCTGTTTGCGAAAGTGGCACTTTATAATTTCACCACAAAGAGCTGAAGTCTGATGTCTTATTCAGTGCTAGAGGATTATCCAAAATGAGCATGTGAACTGTTTGATCCTATTTATCCATGTGAAATGGGTATATATAACACTTTTCAGGGTAAAACCCGGTCATAAATGGCTTATAAACTATTTTTACGAAGGGTTTTGTGTTACACACAAAACATATTTACAAGTTCAAAAACATTTTTATAAGCCAATAGTTTGAAGGAGTTTAAAATGCAACACAGCACTTTAATCAAATAAAGATTTAAGGCCAATTTAGGTCCACTGAGATGGGTGGGACATTGCATACAAACTTTGGGGTAGAGAAGATGGGCCTACAATTGGAAGGGTCTGTCTTTAGTCCTACCAGATTGATTGGAGATCTCAAAGAGGATCTCTAGTATATGCGCTCTGTCAGATAAACCAATGGAAGCCTTGGTATGATCACTGCTATCTTTTTAATATATCGGCAGTCAGACTATTCACTGATTTAATCTTCAGCTATATGATACTTGATTAACTGTTTATATGTAGTACCAAACCATACTGAATAACCTAAACCTATTGCCTATCCAATTTTGAGCTTCCATTTAATGTTAAATCAAGGAAGATAATAGAAGAGGTAGAAGAGTAAAATTTAACAAGGAAATATATTATATTCACAATGCAATTATTCTAAGAACTGAAGTATATGCTTCTATGGATACCAATTCAGCCTTTCATCCTTGGTTAATAGCAATAATTGGTGAGTAATTTTAAAAACATACAGAGGAATAATTTTAAAAACTTGCCATCCCCTTATGTCTTGATCCAAATCAGGCCTTTCTCTAATGATTGATATTGAAATAATCAATACGTGCATGTTATACGGCAGGCGTATTCAAACTTGGCCCTTTTATGACTTGTGGACTTCAACTCGCAGAATTCCTTAGCTAGGCATGCTGGCTGAGGAATTCTGGGAATTGAAGTCCACAAGTCATAAAAGGGCCAGGTTTGAAGACCCCTGTTATATAGTGAAGTGTAATGGATTGCAATGCAAATCTGAGGTGCAGGATCATACTGCTAGTAGATGCATCTGTTGAGGCAAAAACTGGCTTCAGAAGGGAAAACCCAGCCTCTCCTTTCTACCTCCTTGTCAACTGGCTGTTTCCAAGTCAGCATTTCAAACTATGGAAGCCTCAGAGTGGCCTTCCGCAGCCTGGTATTTTCCAGATGGGCTGGATTAGAATGGCCAAATGTGACTGAGAATTCTGGGAGCTTTTCTCTGAGACAGCTGAAGGGCACCAGGTTGGAAAAAGCTGCTCAAGACCAGGGGTCTTCAAACGTGGCCCTTTTATGACTTGTGGACTTCAACTCGCAGAATTCCTTAGCTAGGCATGCTGGCTGAGGAATTCTGGGAGTTGAAGTCCACAAGTCATAAAAGGGCCACGTTTGAAGACCCCTGCTCTAGAGGATGTGTAACATTCCAGATGAGGAAAAAGAGGAGAGAGTTTGGCCTGTTGGAAGCCTACAATGACGAGAAGAAAACTAAAAGTGTACTAGGTATGGATAGTAAGAATGTTGCTTTCTTGCATGTATGGCATTCAGATCTTGTGAGATTTTCAGGCGATACAGAGTTAAAGCACATTTTGTTCCCAATACATTATGATAAAGCCAAGATTTCTTGCAGATCAAAAATTCTACTTTTTGTCCTGCAAACTTAGTATTATTTTATTGCAACAGTTGTGACTTCATCCTAGGTTCTTTGCTTGTTTTCTCCCTATAAGCAAGCTTGAACCTGTCTCCTTCACACAGTATTATTCACTGCAAGGACTTACTTAGTCCTTGCATATTCTTCCCACAAAAGATTTTGAACTTCCTTTGTTTAATTAAATACCACCTCCCTATTCTTTCACCAAGGTATAGTTCATCATTGAGAATGCAGTTTCTGACCCCTGAGCTTATATCCCTGAACTCCATGCCAAGTAATTTCCATGATTTGTTTTCCTCCTTGCCAGAGTGTATGAAAGATGGTTGTAGAAATTTTCTAGCCAGAAAAGATGGATTCTACACATATTGAATCCAAAAACAAACAAAAAAAATCAAATGTAAAGTCCAATTTATTAACGGGAGAGAAAAATGAGTTTGCTTGTTTTTGGATAATTCCTGATATCTCATTTCATTTTTGAGACTCTCACAGTTTTTTAACCAGCATTTGCTCTTTATAACAGCAACTGCAGATAGTAGACCACTGCCAACCTTTATCAGCACTTCTTGTGGTCATTTTTAGTTTTTTTTTTCTTACCATCCATTTCAAAGGGTCTGAAATGCAAAATACCAGTTTAAAATACTGAACTTCACCAGCACATACTGTATAGACATTCCAAATATTATAAATATAGTATTATATACACCATGATAGAGCTGCTGGGGACACACAAGAGATATTAAACAAAATAAAATTATATAACAGAAATAATAATCCTATTGTTTTTTATTCATTAAGTTGTTCTTCCACTGCTAACAAAAGGAAGCAGGTGGAAAGCCAATCCATTTATTTAATATTACTCAAAAAGTCACAGCTCTATTATTATGCCTGAGGCAAAGTGTTTTAAAAGCAACTCCTCTAAATTGCTTGTGAGCTCTCAGAAAGATCCCAACCCATATTAAGAGAACTCTTTGGGGTAGAAAATTTAATTTCAAATTCCTGATTGCTCCTTAATACATTTCATAGGTTTGAACTCTCAGGGCTTCTCTAAACTGCCTGGTTGTCACTACTATTTTTCTTTCCCTGAGCTAATTACATTTCTCTGAGCTTACTGTTTTTTAAATAAGTCCAGTGGTGCACTGCTTTAGCATCATTGAGGTAAAAGTGTTTCACTCCCATTCCGAAATAGCCCAATTGTTATTAATGGAGGGAGATGGTTAGAAACAGATGAGCTTGGTGTGAATATATCTTTATGCAATTGCATAAAGTCCTTAGTCAACACACAGTTTTCTAAGGAGGCCATCATAAGGAAAAGACAAGTGAACTGAATCTCAAGAAATATTACACAATGACAGGAATGTAGAATCTGCTTTAAAATATAAAAGATTCAAAACCACTATTTTCTCCTTTTAGGCAAGCAAGCAGAATGGTCGGTCTCTAAAGAAGAGAGCCCAAGACTTCCTTCTCAAGTGGAGCTTCTTTGGAGCTCGAGTAATGCACAATCTCACTTTGAACAATGCATCCAGTTTTGGTATTTGATTCTTCTCCAATTCTTTTGTTTGTTTATAATGTTAAAAATGGACTGGATCTGGTAGGGTCTGTAGGGAAAACATTCTGGAAAATCTTCCCCCTGCATCCAAATGGGGAAGGAAGTTGAGCAATGCTCAGAATGTTGGGAATCCTTCCATTCTAAGCTCCTTTCTTCCCTCCTCTGTGTTATATGACCTTATAGTCCCGTGTTTCTCAATCTTAGCAATTTTAAGATTGTCTGGATTTCAAGTGGCTGGGAAAATCTAGAAGTTGAAGTCAAAACATCTTAAAGTTGCTTAGGTTGAGAAACACTCCTATAGATCATATGCAACTTACCCTTTGCTCCCCAGTACAAATAACTACACAAAAATACATTGATGCACAAGAAATGCACGTATAGAAATAAAACATTGCTTTATTAACCAGAAAAAAGAATGCAGACTTCCCTGATTGCTGATGGTAAAGAAATTGGAAGCCACGTGGTTTGCTCCCCCTATCTTTGAAAATCTTTATTCTTTACAATAGGTGTATAAACTTATTTGAAGTCTTAAGACACCTTTTTCCTGTAAATCCCTTCTTCAAACCCTACAAAATTAAAAAGTCCAATGACATCAACAACTATGCAACCTGCAGCTCCTAAAAGATTTTTTTTTAAAATAATAATAAAAGTGCAGCCCCTGTAAAAATAGCTGTTGATCCCCATGCATATCTATTTTCTTTTTTATTTGACTCACATACGAGGGCAATTTGGAAATAAACCTCCATTTCGTTATCAATAACAGACACTCGCAGATAGAGAACTTTTATTATACACATTAGAAAACTACAACATTACATTACTTTTTGATATAATTGCCATTCAAATTGAGGCACTTGTCAAAATCTGGGTCACCCCCCCAAAGCCTAGATTTGGCGCCAAGCGACTACTACTAAGGAATTTCAAACCTAAGACATTATGACAAGTGCCTCAATCTGAATGGCAATTATGTCAAAAAAGTAATGTAACGTTGCAGTTTTCTAAAGTGTATAATAAAAGTTCTGTATCTGCGAGTGTCTGTTATTAATAACCAAACAGAGATATATTTCTGAATTGCCCTCGTACTTTCTTGTCATGCACAAGTTACCACATCTTCATTCACAGAACTGGTTTATCATGTGGCAGGGATAAGTATGACTTCTCTGTCTTAAACATAACGTGAATTCATCCCCATGCCATTCAAACCTTCATTTTTTGTGTGAAAAGAGGGGAGACACCTGGTTCTAACAACAGATATCATTAGTGGATGGGAGTGCTATGCAAACAACTAGATGTTTAGTAGAGCGAGGACGATATTCTGCTATATGTATAACAATATTATTCCTTTGGAACTCCTTATACATATTTTTACGAATAGGCCATCAAGATTCGATCAGCTACTTTTTAGTTGTTTAACATTAGGAAAATGCAGCAAATCCATTCTCCTGCATGGATTCAGTGTTACTGTGTTCTAATGTAGGTCTGTTCAAGTATAAAGCATGTCTCACTTTCATCAGTGTTGTACTTTGATGTCATCGGTTGTCAAATAACTTGCAGGACAGTAAACATATTGAGTGAGGTGGGCCAGCATCAAGCAAGATTAGGATGAGGAGTTAAGCACCATGCTTTGTTGGTCTTAGTAGGTCACTGAAAGTCCAGCCATTATTTGTTTGTTTCACTTGCTCCTTGTGCAGTGTTGAGAGATGGTCAGCAAGATAAGATTATGCACCATCTCTTCACTTTTCTTTCTTTCATTTTAGGTTCATTTCATCTCATCCGCATGCTTTTAGATGAATATATCCTCCTTGCGATGGAGACCCAATTCCACAACGATAAAGAACAAGAACTTCAGAATTTATTGGACAAATATATGAAGAATTTAGGTAACTGGAATTGGTAGTTGGCAATCTTTAGAAATCTGAAGCCCAAAGGGGGTGTGCCTGTTTGTTTAATGTTAGACAGATAGATGCCTAAATTGAGTGAATATTTGGATATACTTACATGTTGGTCTTTAGAGGAATAATTGTCTCATACTTAATACTGTTATGCTTATTAGTTTAAATTTCTAGACATTTCATTCTAAAGCACATGAACATTTAATAATATTCAAAAAATTTGTTTCAAAGCAGGTCTGATTAAATTCAAGCAGGCAATGTTGAATCAATATTTGGAGTTGTATTATTGAAAATGCTTTCAAATTCGGTATGTTTTAATATTTGACCCAAACTATTTCATATTTAATAGGCTGGAATCAGCATTCTACATATCAATGTGACTGAAGCTAATAAATGTCCACTGCAGACTGTTGAAGAAAAATACTTAAAAAGCAGTTTATTGTTTGATTTTTCAAAGGATTTTTAAAGCTTTTCTTAAAAGGAAATGGTATTTTCTAATAGCTTGAAGTGCAATCTGCAATACATTCTGGGCTTTATACCTGTTCTAAACATTTATTAAATGACATCCTCATCTTCATTACAACCTATGTTATTGCAATGTTCAATCATATACAGCACTTAATAATTTACACTGTTTAACACAGTGGTTCTCAACCTGTGGGTCGGGACCCCATTTGGGGTCGATCGACCATTTCACTGGGGTCGCCAAGCAAGGCTGTCCGCCATTTTTTTTGTCCGCCATTTTTTTTGTCCGCCATTTTTTTCCCCTTTTCCGGTGGGTGCCTTACCTCCCTTGGGCTGGGCCAGCTGGTGGTCGGCCTGCTCCATCTCTGCCGCTTGCCAGCTACGCCTCGGCTGGCGCAGGGGGCGGAACCATGCATGCGCGGCGCTCCCGGGCAGGGAAAGTCCTCGACTTACGACCGGTTTAGTCCTCGACTTACGACCGGTTTAGTCCTCGACTTACGACTGGTTGGGGTCGCGGCATTAAAAAGGTTGAGAACCACTGGTTTAACAGATCTGTTATCATGGTAATTATTAGGTCTCATTCCTAAGCTGACCTGAATGCATTTCTATTCTATATGGTTTATGGATATTTTTAGGTGAAAGTCACTGTCAGTACTTTCTAAATTACAACAGAAGTAATACAGTACAGTCTCACTAAATTAGTGCTGCCCAGAATGCCAACTTCCATCCTTTGCAACCCAAGACATCTGGAGGGCTCTAGGTGAAGGAAGGTTGCCTAATCAATCCAGTATTATCAGAGATGATGCCGAATATCTTATCTGCCCGTGTGGGCATCCATTATTTAGGCAAGGGAAAGTAAAGGATGAAACTTACATGACAACATCACCATGCAAATTGCTGCAACTTACATCCTTTGTGTAATATTAAAGGCCTGGAGACTAAAACATATGAAGAACAGTTGCAGGATTTGGGAATGGCCAGTCTAGAGAAAAGAAGGACTAGGGGGGACATGATAGAAGTATTCCAGTATTTGAGAGGCTGCCACAAGGAGGAGGGGATCAATTTATTTCCCAAAGCACCAGAAGGCAAGACAAGAAACAATGGATGGAAACGAATCAAGGAGAGAAGCAACCTGGAATTAAGGAGAAACTTCCTAACAGTGAGGACAATTAACCAGTGAAAGAACTTGCCTTCAGACGTTGTGGGTGTTTTATCACTCGAGGTTTTTAAGAAGAGACTGGACAACCACTTGTCTGAAATGATATGGGGATTCATGTTTGAGCAGGGGGTTGGACTCGATGACCTCCAAGGTCCCTTCCAACTTTATTATTATTATCATTATCGTTATTGTTGTTGTTGTTGTTGTTGTTATTATTATTATTATTTTCTGTCTTGTTTCCTGGTCTTTATTTCATACTACCAAACCTTTGTTATTTTTTCCAGATGCCAGTAAAGCCACCTTTACAGCATCCCCCAGTTCTTGTTTCCTAGCAAACCGCAACAAGGCTGTCCCAATTGCTAGCGATGCCTCAGTGAAAAACGAATGCCTGGTAGAGCAAACCTATTTCTCTTTATCATCCAGTCATCATGGAAGCATATCGTCTGGCCTGAACCCATGCCCTGCAGGAGACAGTGAGAATATGCAACCCACAGGTAGGAAACAATGGAGATGCTGGCTCTTGATCAGTTCTCTTTAAGTTGCCAAAAGGAATCGCAGAAGAAGAACACTTGAACACCCATGACTGTTTCTTGTTGCCTGGTTTTAGAAAAAAAACAACACATCTGTTTGTTTTTTCCAGGTCAGACAGACCTCTCTCAGAGCACTGCTCACCTTATCACTCCGCCCATTTCTCCAGCCATAGTCAGCCGAGGAAGTGTTATCAACCAGGGACCGATGGCTGCCAGACCATCCAGTGTAGATCCATCATTATCTGCACACTCCCACTGCTCTTCTTATTCTGAATATCTCTATCAGACGGTGCCACAAATGAACCAGAACTTCTATGGAGCCGGTGCCAATTATCCAGCCATGTTCAGGGCCCAGACACATCTGCCTTCGGGATCCTGTCCCCAGAGGGCAGAATCTAGCCTTTGCCCAGCAGCCAATGAGCAGCAACGTTTCTCCCGGGACCACTTCAATAGCAGTTGTGCTGTGTCTTCATACAGTACCCGTTCCCTTCCTCTTTATGGAGCCTCTTCAGCTGCACAGGAGACACATTGTATGCAAATTTTGAACAATGGGAGCTGCAGCTTTGCGAACAACACCCCAACGAGTTCTTGTCAAGGATCATCATATTCCACAGCTGCTTCTAATGGTATTAATCATTTTCAGAATTTTACTTTATTGTCTTTGATCTAGAGTTCAGTCTAGTATTCTTGTAGTCCTTGGACTAGTTCACATGTGGATTTTAACTTTGTGTAAGCATGTGCAGATATTTTTAAGGTCACCTATTTAATGAAAAATTATTGCAGAGATATGATAAAAGTTGAGAAAAGAATAAGGGTTAATTGATCCATCTCGTGGGTTTATGTGAAAATCTAGCATGCAACAGTGTTTTCTGGTGAAGCTGGTCTATCAGAACACCCAGTTTACAAAGCAATCTACTTATTGCTTTTAGCCCCAATCTAGGAGCGTTTTTTTTTATCATACAGGCAAGCAGCCCACATTCGAATCTCAGAAGGATATGGCTAGCTAATGAGAGCTAAATAGCTCAAAATAGCTATACTAATCTCCCTTTAACTCTTTGTCGGCAAAATCCAAATTGAACACACACACACATATATACACACACACACATACACATACACACACATATACATACACATATACACACAGATATATATATATATACACTATACACATACAAACACACATATACACATACACACACATACACACACATACAAGTAGTTCTGCAGGATGCTGCCACGGCCACAACCATGAAATTAAGTACCCCTCAATCAGCACCATGACAATGTCAAATGGTTGCTGAATGAGTGGTTATTAAACAAGGATTACCTGTACTAAAGTATGTGCTCATCATATTTGATAGTGAATATTTTAGTTTATTGTTTGCAATAATCACTTTCGTGATAGTTTGCCATGTAGTTGATCATTCTGTTATTTAGATGTACACATACTGTATTTAAGAGAGAAAGACTGTTTCATAAGAGCATCTAAAATACTCTCTCCAACCTGTGTCTTCCTGAGGGATTGCATCTCTGTAATCCACAATCAGCATCCACCAGTGTGATTGGTTTTTGTATCTTCTGTTTTCTAACTTTACATCCCCTGCGTGAAGTGGATTAAAAATTTGATTTTGTTAGCCATGACTTTAATATTTAAGGTTTAAATTGTTGCCAAATATCTCATGACTGATACAATGGATGCTGTAATTAAAATCTTTTCAAAATGATACATCATGGCAATTCCTTTTTTGCTAAAATGTCCAATCTATATTTTGTAAATCCTCATTTCTTCTGATATCAAAACACAAGAATATTATACATGATATATAATATATTATAATATAGAATATATATGATATACCTTATCTATAAATGTCAGAAACATAAGTAATAATACATAAATATAAGAACGATGATATCTTTAGCTGGAAGAGGATCTTTGTTCCCTATTTATAACAATACAAAGGCATATATACTTTAAACATGAAACATAACTTTTTTTATTTAAATTTATTTAATGAAACTAATTAATAGCTTTATTTTTTTTTAAAAAAAACAACTAAGGTTTACAGGGTAGTGCTTATACAATATTGTCTGTGGTTCTAGATGTTTACTCACTGATTGTCAATCTCCTGTTAACAGGGTTCTATGGAAATAACACAAACTATTCAGATTCCCACAGATTTGAGTCATTGGTAGATCAGCATGTTTCTGTCATCAGCAGCATAAGCAGCGTTCGCCCGTTGCCTCCATACAGTGACATTCATGATACACTCTGCATCTTAGAGGATACAGGAAGGAAACAGGGAACATCTTATTATCCAGATGCCTCCATCGTGGGTCAAAACTCTATAAGTAAGTAAAACTGAAATAGTGTTGGTGTGGCATGGATGCCCTTTTCTTCTGGCTTCATGCCCAGGGTGAATATGAAAGGGAGAACTGTGTTGGTTAACCAGGCTCACAACCTCCACACAGTAGCCAAAGATACCTAATAATTCCTCAACCTATCTAATCTCAGATGATCTCAAAAAGCTAAGGGTATCCGGAGCTGATTAGTACTGAATTAGAAGAATAAGTTATGCTGCAGATTGGCATCGGCAGGGTATATAATAAAAGTATGTGAATCTGCGTAAAAGCCCCGTAAAAATGATATTCAATAAAATATATTTGTTCTGTTTTAGTCATGTCTCTTTGCTGTCTTAAATCTTGTCTATGTCTCTTCCAGTAGAAGACCTTAGGGATCTAAATAATTTCTAAAGCCAAAAAAGGGTTCAGTGGTGGCCGCAGAACAAAGAAACGATACTTTAACATACAGGCTCACACCAGGAAAGTTAGTGACACATGGTGACGATCCCTTTGCTTATTTGTACTCTCTGAGATCATTTTCCTGTTTCAGAAAAATCAAAGCAGCTGACTTGGGAATTACTAAAACTGTTATTAGATTACATTCTCCAATTCAGTGCATAATTAGTGTAAATCTTGGCGTATTAGTATTTAAGAAATGAAATCCAGATTGGAGGATGACCTTGCTAGATGTATTAAAAGCTCTGGAATCTTTTCCTTTTTTTCTTTTTTAGAAGCACCACAAAGAGTAACTCTTGTCATTTTCTTTGTAGCTTCAGAAATGCTGCCTGCTCTGCCTACAAATTCCTCTCAATGCATGTATAGCCATTCTCGACAATGCCCTTCTCAGGAACCAATGGACTCTTCTGGACAAGCTAACAATGAGATGGTGTCATCCTTACCACCAATTAATATTGTCTTCATGGGAACTGCTGCTGGAGGCACCTGATTTTTAGTTCTCACTTACTTCCTCCACTTAGCAACTTTGTTCATCAGAAAAGTTTTACAAATTGATTTTAAAGAGTGTCCAGAAAGATTTTATGGTGCATGCTTAAGTAATATTGGACTTCTCAGTCCGAGTGCAAATTATTTCTTATATGTAAATGAGAATATACTTGCAAAGTGGTTTTCTTCTTATTGCTGACTGGGTTTAAATGCACATTTAGAGAATGATCATATTTCCAGTTTCCCCTCATTGCAATTTAAAACAATAATTAAACAGTGTTTCATTCTTCCAGCAAAACCAATTCCTCTTTCTCTCATTGCAATTTCTCTCTCTTTGATACACCACCTACATTCTGGAAACTCTTTGGATTGCACAGGTGCACCTGACTGTGATACCTACTCCAGACTTAGAAACACAGATGCACTTTCGTGATACATTTGGTATTTTTCCCTAGTCCAGCATCCTCCTGAGAGACAGGAATATCAAATCAATTTTAGATGGACAGGAATATCAAACAACTTTAACCTGCCTGGCAGGGATTTAGGAAGTCGTTTCGCAGAGTTTGAAGCCACCAAATTAAGAAAACCTATCCTAAAACATTTCACAATACTAAGACACAGCATATTTTGTGATTTTGCTCCCAAGCAACAATCGTAGCCCTTCTTCCCATCCTTTCAGTTAGGCCTGAAATTACACTGTTTCATTAAATAGTTATCAGTTCTCCAAGTGTCATGCCTTAAGAGAGGGCAGTGGCAAACCACTTCCCAAAAAAATTGGCTAAGAAAACTAACAGTAATACTTAATTACAAGTAGGGAAAATAGCAATAATAATAACAATAATGATGCATGATGATGATGTGATGATGTATGGATCCTGGGTAACTGCCTATGTGTACTTTATATTCTGTTATATTATTCTAATGTTTTGTAATCTATGGTTGTTATGGACATGGCAACTGTAGTTTTCCCAGTCTGCTAATTTTTAGAAGCTTCCTTGTTAGATACATTTTTAATCAAAATATGTGTGGTTCACTATGATTTCATGATTTCATTTTATTGTTACCCCATATATTACCCACATTTTGCCCCTTTTTTCATTTCCTCTCTTGGGATATTTCACTTTCTTTCTTTTTCAGAATATCAGAACAGAGATACAAATTTTTGTCTGGATATTTCATAGGGCATTGCTATGAATGGACTTTGCAGTGGAAGATATGATTTTGATATCAATAGCTCTCCACCATTATAACTCAACACTCTTATTGTTGTAAAGACACACAATATTTTTTAAAAGTGCCAAAATTTCAGTGTAGCAGCTTCATTAATTTGACATTAGCAGTACAAGCTACTCTTACAGTACCTAACAATAGAACCCAAGTTTGTACAATAAAGTCATCTTATTATTACTTAATACACCATAAAATTATTGTTGTGAATATTTACCTGTGGAAGGTTTCATGTATGTCTTTTTGTTTAAAAATGTATTTTTAACGTGCTTCAGTCTTCTTACTTATAGAACTGCCATGAGTTCAGAAGAGCCTTAAAAATTCAATATTCAAATGGGTCAGTTTGCACTCAGGAGAAGATATATGAAATATCTATATATAGGCATTATGAGTGAATTTGACAATCAAACTCAGTTTTCGAATTGAACTTTTGCTTCTGTCCATATAAAATCATTTCATGGCAGAATTTAGGAGTTCCACAGATTTCTATGAAAGGAACTATTTCTAAGCGCTCTGCAAGAAGAGTATATGCCAATGCACTTGCATTGCTTTGGATATTGTCCTATAGAATATTCAGTGGCAAGCTATCTTATTTTTTTCTTTGTTCAAAATTTAAAACTTTATGAGCCCTATTTGCTTTAGCACCCAATCCATATTCCCCAACCTCAGGACAAGTAAAATTAATATACTTGTGATTTGTTTTTTAAAAGCCACTTCTCTATATTTATTAAAAGCAGTACTCTTTTGTCTTGTATATACTTTCAGTTTTGTAAAATCAAAAAAGCACTAGTTAATAGACATATGTTCTTTTTATTTATTTGAGTTACAGAATCTGCAATTCTGTTTGCCAGGTTGTCAGATCTATGTGTTCTACCTCCTACAGAAATGTTTACAAGGCCAGTTTTTCAAACCCCCAAAATAAATCTTATGTTGTCTAATCTTATGGATTAAAAATCTCATTTCAAGTATTAATTGAGTCACAACCTCATTTGTCCTTTTGCCATTCTCTGATTGGTTCAGTGTCTCTTTTACATGATAAAGGAAATACCAATGTTGCATAATGAGCTTGCTTGTAAGTGTGGTATGTTTACCACACCTTAGAAATTTCAAAATTGTGAAGATGCACCTAATAAATTAGAAACACATTTATATTGATTCTTAGCTGTATATTAATACATTTCAGCTTCCACAATGTGTTTAACATCCAGATATGAGATGAGATATTTACCAGTTATCAAATATAGAAGTGACACAACAAAGGTTAAATTTTAGAAGAAGCAGAGAGCAGAATATAGTTACTATTTAATCCAAAATAAAGATGCTAGGATATATAAAATTATTTTATAAACTGTTGCATATTAAGCATATAAAATGCACGATGTTTCCCAAATACATTAGTATTTTACAATAACCTCGCAAGAGACAATTGAATATACCAGAGGGATTTCATTCTACTAAACTGGCACAAGGAGATCTGCTTCCTGTCCTCTCAGCTTAGTTGATTATTATCCTTGATCAAATAAAAGGCCACATGTTCAGATTGCCCTGGTGCTCTGGTTGCTATAGAAAAGGCAGATACATAGTTAAATTCTGCTTTTAAAAAGAGATTGATTTTGAGAGCTTTTTTGTATTCATTGTGTGCTGTATATCTTTGCACAAGAAGCAAGTTAATAGAGAATTTCTCCCATTGTATCGGGGTTTTACTCAGCTCACCTCCTCACTGGATCAGAAGGTAAAAAAGGAAAAAGTAACACAAAACTCATATGCATATACAGCATGTGCAGAACAGTGGCCAAACTACTGTATAGAAATAAATATCTATGAAAGTGAAATGCAAAATGTGCATTCATTCTGTTTTATATTTTCACGCCCTCCAACCCAACATAAATTTGGAACAAAATATATAAGAGCCCTTATCAGTAGGATAACTCTCTGAAAACTGAACTGAACCAAATTTGTGCAGAGGGTTAAGCTGGCAAAGACTGAATTTAAAATGAGTTGATCTAGGTGGGGGATGTCCTCTCCCAAAGAGAATCCAGAAAAAAATTCCTCAATGCATTTTTCTTTTTTTAAAAAAAATATATTCGTTTTATTTCTAAAGCCACCCAATCACTAACAAATCAAGACAGTGTACGAAAGTGCATTGCCAATTGCCCCATCACAATTTTGGGATGGCTTGAATGAACAATATTTCCTATAGACTCTTCTCACCCACTACAAAAGCAATCTCATGGTGCACATTTCTACATCAGTTTCAAAATAAAGTTTTTCTGCTTCAAACGTTGTCCTATTCACTTGCAATGAGTATTTTGTTCTAGACCAGGGGTAGGCAACCTCAGCTCTTTTATGACTCATGGACTTTAACTATGCTGACTTAGGAATTCTGGGAGTTGAAGTCCATGAGTCATAAAAGAGCCGAGGTTGCCTACCCCTGTTCTAGACCAACCTCTGTAGTTTGATTGGCTGCTTCATAGATTCAGAAATGCTCCCTCAACTGAATTAATGGGTTGTCATGGTCTCTATATCTTCTACAGCTAGTCTAGGCAACTGTTGCAAATTTTGAATTTGTACATTTTTATTCTGCCTTTATTACTTTATATGTAAGTCAAGACAGTGAACATATCAATATGCCTTCCTTCTCCTATTTTCCCCACAACAATCCTGTGAGATCAGTTGAGCTGAAAGAGAGTGATCAATCAGCTGGTTTCTCAGACCTGAGATGAAACTAGAACTCACAGTCTCCTGGTTTCCTAGGCCAACATCCTAACCACTATACCAAACTGGCGCGTAATGTGTAGTGATTATAATATTTGCTTAGCATATAGAATATTGCTGATATGAAACCTAGAAGAAATTTGCTTCTTTCTCTTTTTTTAACTACTATTTTACTTTTCCTCAACTACCTATTTTTCCAGAGGCTTTTTTAAAAAATGAATGGATGCACCGTTTCTTCATTTCTCCAGCTGACTTTTTTTAAAAAAAGGCCCAGTTAAAAAAATAGGTAGTTCAGGGAAAGAAAAATAGTAATTTTTAAAAGTTACATTCTATATGTAAGGCAAGGGTTATAATCACTGTACTAATGTTGAGACTCTAGAAAGAGTACAGAGAAGAGCAACAAAGATGATCAGGGGACTGGAGGCTAAAGCATATAAGGAACGGCTGCTGGAATTGGGTATGTCTAGTTTAATGAAGAGAAGGACGAGGGGGGACATGATAGCAGTCTTCCAATATCTCAGGGGCTGCCACAAAGAAGAGGGAGTCAAGCTATTTTCCAAAGCGCCTGGAGGCAGGACAAGAAGCAACGGGTGGAAACTAATCAAGGAGAGAAGCAACCTAGAACTAAGGAGAAACTTCCTGACAGTTAGAACAATTAACCAGTGGAATAACCTCCCTCCAGAAGCGGTGAATGCTCCAACACTCCTTCAAAAATTCTTCTCTGACCTGTCGGTAAACAGGCTTTACCATATCCCAAAGGACGGACTCGTCCCCCAACCTGATCTACTGGAAGTTCCAGGGAAGGTTGAAATGATAATAATAATAATAATAATAATAATAATAATAATAATAATAATAATAATAATAAATTATTATTATTATTATTATTATTATTATTACTATATATTGAATATATCTGACATTAGATATATTTGGATATAATTAGACAAAGGAATATTTATGTATGGATTTTAGAATATCATTAAAAATGTCTAAAGTCTCAGGCTCAGATGCAGATTTTCTCTATCTGTATGCATACAAATATGATGCTTGCTAATTAGGCTGGAACATAGAAAGACACAAAAAAGACAGCAAATTTAGAAAAACAATGGCCAAACTGCAAAATGTTTATACAGAAGAACAATAGGGCATCCTTTCCCCCCCCTTTTTTAAATGAAACTTGTATAGAAGTTCCCTTAATTTCTGCCACCATCCTATAAAGCAATGATGAGACTGGAAATTGTTAGAAGCAAATGCTATGTATAGAGAGAGTTACAACCAAGACAATGATTGGATTACAAAAAAAATAAGTCCAAAGCAG